GGGGGGGGGGGGGGAGTGGTTTTGGGTTTGGAAAAGGGTAGAGAAGTGGTGAGTTCAAGGGAATGTGAAATTATGCTTTAATAGGGAACAAGTAGCAGGTAACTGTGGATTAGTTGAGGTGCGCACAAATTAGCTGGGACAACATCGTTATAAAAAAAATGCTTTAATGGCATAGTGTAGCCGATTCTTTACATAGCAGAAGAAAGGCTTGTGCTAATTACTGGATGAAGGAGGAAGGGGAAAGGAAAAGGAACTGTTTTGACAGTTTTATTGTCTATGTTATGCACCTATTTAAATCGATTTTAAGTGTATGGTATGGGTACTCTAGATTGCAATGTGTATAAATCGCTAGATACAAAGCCTAGAGAGATGAGGAGGCAATACCCAAATTGTTAAAAAGGTTTAAAATTTTTCTTCTTTGGATGAGATATAGTAGCTGATAGATGTCATTTATCTTTGCCAACTTAAAGCACACACCTGTGTGGTGCTGATAGGTGAAATTCGTACCAAGGTTTTTCTTCAACGATTTTTGTCTTGATTTTTTCTTGAAATATGGTAAACCCCACTCCCCCATATCCTCCTTATCTAGGAGCCAAACAGTTTCCCTTTCAACTTTGCTCCCTTGTCGATTTGAACCTCCAACGTGTGGTTGGACCGTTGGAGGTAGAGAGTCCCAACTACTAGGCTATCTTTCCCTTGACAGTTTTGCACTTAGTATTTGAACTGGTCTTAAACCATAGCGTTGTTTATGGAAGTGGGTTTATAAACTTGGCCCACTTTTGGGTTGACTATCTAAATTAAATATGATTGTGAGAATGTAACATGAGGATCTGGATAATAGCTTATTCTTTGTGTCAAAATAGACACAATGTGATGTTGTGATTAATGGAAATTATAAAGATACTGCACTTACAAGTGTGCTTGGATGTATCTCACAGTACCAGTTGAAGTCCCAAAGAAAGATTCATGTCTTTTATATTTTATACAATGCTAAATTACTAAAAATTGCTAATATCCTTGCAATGTTTTCACTTCTTCTTAAACGTGCGATGTGCCTTTGAAATTGGAATAAGCAGGTGCCTTAGATCATGGCAAATATCTTCTCTATCATATCTTCAATTACCTTCCGTCATTCCTGCGAGGGATGTTTTGCGTAGTTTAACTTCACATTACTTCTGTCTGTTCAACCTAAAGCAGAATAGCGGATAAAACATCACAACCAACCTTTTCTAACATTTAGTGTTATAACGCAAAAACAGGAAGCACTGAGGAAGCATGGTTTGATTCTGCTGCAATATTCGATTCTGATGGCAGTGATGAAGATTTCCAGAGCGTTGCTGATGGTATGGCCTTCTAACTTCAGCCTTTACATTCTATCTGCAGTTGTGAAATTTAAGAATAGAAATGCAATCACAATATTCTGCAGATGTGCTCTCTCTCAACAGCTTTGATTGTGGGCGGACCAGCGTAGCTTCTGTGAGAGATGCCAATCATGGGGATGCTGATGTCAATGCCCACCCAAACAATTTGTTGCATCCAAAAGATGCAGATTCTAGAACGAAACTTGATGGACCCCACAGTGAGGTACAGCCTGTATTTATTGATGAAATCTCTTCCTCAGCTAATGAAAGCAGCGGCAGGGAAGATGGTTTGTTGGATAACTGTGGAATTCTTTCAAACAACTGTTTGCCCTGTCTTGCTTCCACGGTTGCACCAATTGAGAAGAGAAGATCTCTTAGCGATAATTCTCCAAGTGCTAGGAAGAAAGCTGCCTTAAAACTTCCCTTCAAATGGAGAGAAGGAAATCCTAATGCTGCTTTGCGTAAGTTTCTATGTCTACCCTTTTCCCCTTGTGGTCTAGTTGCTTCACTGCAATGTTTATGCATGTGCATCCATAAGTGATTCGGTGTGCATCCATTAGTTTTCGATTACCTTTTATCAATTGCACAGAATGAATCAACTGATTTATGTTTTTCCATTAACCATGTGGAAAAATGAAATTTCATGAATTGCTTTATTGACTTCAGCCTATTACAGGATTTAGTATTGTTGTGGTGAATTTTCTTTTTCTTCCAAAAAGAACTTGTTATATTCTTCAACTATCATCTTCTTACTGGAAAAAGGGTTTTGCCATCTGATGCCAACAAGAATTACTCTGGAATTTAATATATCCTCGGCTCTCCTAGAAATATTGCCCGCAAACAGTTGTGCACAATTTTGAACTGTTTGATTCTTCTTTCTAAGGTATAATTGGAGTAGGTTTATTGAGTCTGAATTGCTACTGGTTGATGAATGCCTTAACACGTGACCTTGGAATTGAAGTTGAAAGATGATCAAGGCTGAATATACTGCCACACATATATGCTACATTTTGTTTGTAGATGCACCTTATTTATTAATAAGATAGCATACTTTTTTTTGTATTTTTTTTATTTTTACCCCTCCGCAGGAGCTCCCCACTTTACTCCCTTGGTGACTCGAACCCACAACCTTAGAGTTGGAGGATGCCTACCACTTGTGCAAACCTTCATAAGATAGCAACTTAGTATTGAAACATCGCAATAAAAGTGATTTCTTTGGGCAGTGTGGAGGTCAGGTTATTTCAGGGATTTGACTCATTAATGAAATCCAAATGGAGGATATTTGTTACAATTTATCTGAGAGATATCTAAATTACTCCCCTGTTGTTACTAGTGTCAAATGTACAATGTTTGTTGATCTTCCGTTATAAAACAAACTAGTGAAATCAGGAAAGGAATGAGGAACAGGGTTACTATGATCAAGAGTGAGTGGATAACATTGGAATCATAAGTCAATTTTCAGTATGAATAGTTGCACTCTAGATTTTGATTTGTAGATAGGAATGAGTAGTATCATCTTCCATCTGTCTAACGGATCAGGGAAATGAGAAAAAAACAAACTGACTCTTATCCTTTATGTGGTACAGTTTCGTCTAAAGCCCTGCTTCAAAGACCAATAGCTGGTTCTCAAGTACCAGTTTGCCCGTTGGAGAAGAAAATGCCTGATAGTTGGTCGCAGATTGAACCGGGCACTTTTAGGGTTCGGGGAGAAAACTATTTCAGGTAAAGTGCTTCCTTCTTTAAGTGCTCACATGCCCAGAGTTATGTACAAAAACTTATATAAAGCTGTGTTTAATCATGTAAAAACTTAGAGAACATCTATCTGATAATAATAAACATGCATATGGATATGTGCCAGCAACCATTGCACTAGTTCCTATGTTGTACACTTGTACTTGTATATGATATTTCATATCACATATTTGCTTTGTGCAGGGATAAAAAGAAGGTGCTTGCTCCAAATTATGCAGCATATTATCCTTTTGGTGTTGATGTATTTTTAAGCCAGAGAAAGATATTTCATATAGCTCGACTTGTGGAACTTCCCGTCATTGAACATTCTGGGACACTTCCTCCCATTCTTGTCGTGAATGTCCAGGTATCATTTATTTTAGAATTTATGTAAATGAGTATTTATTTCATTTTTTTTTTATCTAACTTCGTAAAAGCTTTCAAGATTCTGAAAGTTTTTTTAATGTTATCTACTTTGATCATTTTTAGATTGTCGGTGCAATTTATTTTTCTCTTCAAAGTCTAAAATATTCTGCATCAGTTTTAAATTTTATAAAAGCTTGTTGAATAGGAATTTTTGGCCCCCTCATGGGGCAGTTGAGTATATATGAAATGTAACGTAACCACTAATTCTGTCCTAATTATACTGAGTTTCATTAGTTGAGTAGTCATTTAATCATGTATCTCTATGTAGCCATTTCCTACCATGCTTAGCCTTGCCTTTTGTTTTTTAGTTTTTCTATGTCCCCAAAGTGCTCCTGTTAGCAGTCAGCTCAGCCTTTTCGAACTTCATTTGTGCTGTTGAATTAAATGTACCCGTGTAGGCATCACTGGTTACTTTCTTAATGCCTATATTCATAGGATTTGCCACTTTATCCAAACTTTCTTAATGTTCTACATTCACTGGATTATCCACTTTATATGTAACTACCTCCTCATGTTGCTGACGTGCTGTTTTTCTTTTGCAGATCCCATTATATCCTACCGCAATTTTTCAGGGTGAAATTGATGGTGAAGGGATGAGTTTTGTCTTGTACTTTAAGCTTTCAGAAAGTTATGCTAAGGAACTTCCTCCTCATTTTCAAGAGAATATCAGGGTAAGTTTGAGCATTCATGTTTTCTTATATTTGTCCTTTTTCTTTCCTCTTTTTTTCTGTGTATAACTTGTTTCAAAATCACTCTTTTATACTGTCAGTTTCTCCATTTGATAATATCAGATGTACTCTTATCAGATTTTGGTTAGCGAGTTAGTATTTGACAAATAATTATTACTTTCCTCCCCTTTTCTTATCTTGGACAGAGGCTGATTGATGATGAAGTGGAAAAAGTAAGGGCTTTTCCTGTTGAACATACTGCACCTTTCAGGGAAAGATTGAAGATATTAGGCCGTGTTGCAAATATGGAGGACCTCCCATTAAGTGCTGCAGAGAGGAAGCTTATGCATGCCTACAATGAGAAACCTGTTCTTTCACGTCCTCAACATCAGTTTTACAAGGTAAAGTTGACCCAGATTTTGTTCATTTTAGATTTGTGTACGGTTTGGCTGTGCTTCTTGTTCTACTCAAATTTGTTAAATGTCCAACTGAATGATTTGTGGAAATGCTGTCATTCCCTTTAAACGTTTACTTTTAAGGAAAAAGGTGAACATGCCATTTTGAATGGCGAAAAGTCATCCACTAATATGGTGTATGCAGTAGTAAATTAAGATAGTTCGACGATTGCTAGGAGATAATAAGAGTAATTTACCTATCAACAAAGATTACTGAATGAATGAAGAGCTTTTTTAGAATGACAGATGAAACATGAACCATCTTTTGTCGTAAACTGTTGTAGACACTCTCTCTATGTGGAAAACAACTTCTTCTAATGAGAAGTACTAGATTTTTCTTGTGGAGTCAAGAGTGAGACTGTTTTCTTGCATTATTTTCTTTAGATCATACAAGTAGCACGGTTTACACATTTTACTTTGCATTTGTTAAGGAAGCGTACTTCACTTAAATTTTTTCATCCGAAATTTATGAAATGTTTCAGTTTGCATACATCTAGAGTGTGGCCCAATTTTCTGGATTAAGAAAGAAATTTGTAACAAGGTTTTGAATCTAACTTCGGTTGCTAATGATAATTTTTGCAGGGAGAGAATTACTTTGAGATTGACATAGACATGCATAGATTCAGTTACATCTCTAGGAAGGGTTTTGAAACATTCCTAGATAGGCTAAAGCTCTGTTGCTTGGATGTTGGGCTAACAATTCAGGTAAGTATTTGTCTCCAACGTACCGTTTTTTTTCCAGATTCTTTTACGGCCTTGGAAGACATTTTTTCCATCTAGGTAATGCCTTTTCCCACTTTCCAAGCAGGGCAATAAAGCTGAAGAATTGCCGGAGCAGGTTTTATGTTGTATACGGTTAAATGAAATTGACTATGCAAATTATCAGCAACTGGGGTCGGAATAGAGAGCCCCTTGAATTGATGCACAGACAGTGGAAGTGTTAAGATATGGCAAATAAAGAGAGTTACTTAGAGAAGTTCAGTTGTCCCTCGCTTTTGGTGCCTACCTCTCTGTCTTTCCTTTCCTCCAATTATCAAAATCTTCGGTGTCTCCATAATGCAGGCATATTATAAGTGTAGCAGGTTCCACGGGAACTGCTAAGGATGATTTCTCGCATTCAGATCACTATGACATGAGTTCTGGACAAGTCGATTGCATACTGCATTAGCTTTATACGTGTATGAATTCATGGACGACATTGAGAAATCAGTTAATGGAATAAATTCTAATTCATTCTTTTTGTTTGATAATATAGCAATCTGTTTAATTAACTTTGCGGCAACACCAGATTTTTAGTCTTCATATGTAATGGATGCTTGTGTTGATTTTCACCAAAATCAGATACTTTTTAGTACTTGTGTTCTTAAACGCCAATATATTAGGGTAGAGGAAGATTTTAAAAGTGTAATGGACACTCAGTTTTGATTTTCACCAAAACTACATACATTTCTACTGGGACAGCCCGCGCACGAAGCATCCTGTGTTCACGTAGGTTCCGAGGAATGGCCGCACCCTAAGGGGGTGTGATGTAGGCAATCTACCCTAATGGCATCAACGGCTGATTCCACGGCTCGAACTCTTAACCTATAGGTCACACAGAGATATACTGACAGTGTAAAATTTGTTTACGCTATCAGTGTACTTTGATCTGTTGTATCAGATAGTCACCATTTATATAGGTTATCAATGCTTATTAAATAGAGTTGCCTGCTAAATATATATAGTGATTAAGTAGCTGATCCAAAATAATTACAAGACAGAAAGATTGAAATGAAGAGTTGCATTAGCAGTTTGATCTTCTGTATTGAACTGTTTCTAGAAAATTATGTGGTGAAGAACAAAAAGTTGAAAGTTCAAGATTTACAGGGAGGAAGTGGTTTCCCACATAAACCTCTGTTCCCAGAGTATGAGCTCTTAGGAAAATCAACAAATGGCTTCCCATAAGGTATTTTCCCTTCCAGAAGATTATCTGAGAGGTTCAGCTCTTTCAGATTTCTCAGCTTTAAATACTTCTCAGGGATTCTTCCGGTGAAATGATTCTTGTGCAGCATCAGTCTCTCCAAAGTGCTAACATTTGACAGTGATGTTGGCAGGTTAGAGACTAATCTATTATAACTGAGATCCAATGTCTGTACTGATATCAATGTTCCTATGGATTTTGGTAATCTACCTTTGAGAAAATTACGCGATAAATTTAAGTATCGGATATTTTCTTGTTCTCCCATCCCAATCTGCTCAATGGCACTTGAGAAATTGTTATTTGAAAGATCAAGATATGTCAATGATCCTCCTTCAAACCTGCTCTTCATCTGGAAAACAAAATTCACACTGCCTTGTAGCTTATTTGAGTGAAGGTCTAGAACTCCAAGATTTTCAAGATTTGTGATAGTAGAGGGAATCTCAGAAACAAACTTGTTATTAGAAAGATTTAAAGTATAGAGCTGAGAAAAACTACCAATCCAAGCAGGAATCTTTCCTGAAAGTTGGTTAGCTGACAAGTCTAGTTCCTGCAATGATTTGGGTAGTAGTTTTATATAATCTTGAACTTCACCATGAATTCCACATCCTGCTAAGTAGATACGCGACAGTGATGGCAATTGCATTAGCCACTTGGGAATGGTTGACATATTCAGATAATTGAATGATAGATCCAATGATTGAAGATTTGAAAGGGAAGAAATTTCATGTGGCAATGGTCCTTCAATCATGTTATGAGATATACTCAACAGGAGAAGCTGAGAAATCTCGCCTATTGATCTTGGCAACTGACCAGATAACTGGTTGTAACTGAGATATAACTCTGTTAGCAACTTCAGATTACCTAAGCTAGAAGGAATAGTTCCCTTAAGCTGATTATTTGCAAGTGAAAGTCTCTGAAGGGAAGTCAAGTAACCAATCGATGGAGGTATCGTTCCACTGAGGCGATTATTCTGCAGTCTTAGAAATTGCAGAGAAGACAACTGGCCAGGTTTTGAAGGCAATGGCATCTCTCCCTCAAGCTGATTGTCATTTAGATAAAGACTTGAAATGGAATATAGTTTAGCAACGGAATGAGGGATTATCCCGGTTAATGAGTTGCTAGATAAATCAAGCTCTTTCAATGCTTGCAGATTGCCAATGTTTTCTGGTATATTCCCGGTCAAGAAATTATCTTGAAAACACAAGCTTTCTAAATTTGTCAAGCTTGTTATAGACTCAGGAATTGCACCAGAAAGTTTATTTGAATGTATATCCAATCTTCTGAGATTCTTGAGACCTCCAATACACGAGGGAAGAAAACCAGAAAAGCTATTTTCTTGGAGATACAATTCTTCAAGTTTAGACAACTTACATATGCTTTGTGGTAATGAACCAGTAAAATTATTGCCAAGAAAGTAGAGTTTTCTGAGATTTGGAAGATGTAAACCAATGGAAAGAGGAATTTGCCCCGTGAGTCCAACGAGTTCACTCATATCGATAACCTCAAGAAACTTCAGAAGTGTAATTGAAGGAGATAATTCTCCTGCCATAGTAGATTGAAATGGTGCATCACCTGAAGTATAGAGACCTGGTAAATTGATTTGTACAACTCTTCCATTTTCATTATTACAAGAAATGCCTTCCCATTTGCAACAATCTTGGCTTTTCCATTTATTTAATCTGCTAGAAGTATCTGAATGAATTCCAGCCTTGAAATCTTGAAGACCCTTTAAATCATTTGGATGACATAACTTGCTTTTGCATATGGTTGTGAGAGTTAGCAATAGAAGAAACCAAAGAACTTGAGAACCCATTTTTTTTTTCAAGAACTGTGGATTGTTACTCAAATATGCTGAAAAAAGTTGGGAGATTTTGTGAATTGTAATGATGGTCAAAGATCTTTAAAACAATGATTTTGTTTAAAGTCATGTTTCTTTCTTTACAGATTGTAATATGCTGAAAAGCATGTAATATGTCTTAATTGTTTTGCTTTTTTCAACTTAGAGAAAGATTTAACACTAAACAAATGGAGAAAAACAAATCCAGACTTTATTAAACGTTACAAATGTCAGTTGCACCCAGAGGTTTCTTCTCCCAATAGATATTCGGATAACTAAACTAATCCTCTGCTTTGCCAGCAGTGTTGACAAAAGCCAATGCTGCTGTTGGTCCTCAGAAACGCCAAAGTAATATTTTGTCCACAGAAACTGCTTGTTTTGTACTTTTCGTTTTAGATTTAACTTATATAGTTGACCACGAAGGCATGACTTTTTTATTTTAAAACATAAACTTTGCATATTAAAAATTTCGACAAGGGGTGCAAGTGACTGCTTCGTCCTATGTGCATGCGCCCGGGCTGGTCCATTATTCACCGGGGTATTTTTTGTTTAAGCAAAAGTAGTAGTTACTTGTAGTTAATTTTTAAATTTAAATTATATATATCTGTTTACCCTCAAGATCGGATAACAATTGAATTTATATGTGGTTTTAAGGATACATGGTCTAACTTGATACAAAATGAAAAATCAGATTAATATTGAAATTAATGATAAAAAAAGTAAATGCAAACCACACGAATTGAACAATCTTGGCCTTGAGAGTTGGTCACCCTTGAGCAAAAAATGCTACAATCGATGCCGGAACAGAATGATGAGATAATAAGATTAGAAATAACAATATATTACCGTGGGATGCGTGTTACCATGTGTTAAATGAATTGTTAGACCCCCTTTATATAGTAGAGGAGTCCTATTCTAGGTACATTTCTATAAAAGGTAAAAATATCTTGATTTGCTAATTTCCGGTTCCTTGCCGATATGCGCCGAGATTTCTGCCGTAATATCCGCTCGGTCGCGAATATTTCGGTCTTCCGTTTCTTATTTCCGAGCTCGCTTCGGTCTTCCGTTTCTTATTTCCGAGCTCGCTTGAGGCTAAGGTCGATACCGGACTCAACATTCCTCGAAGGCAGGTCTACCGACCTAAGGTTCTAGCTCAGCGAGACTTGAGGTCAATCTTCAATATGTGATCGCCACGTTTTAAGCCAAATCCACAAGATTGTAGTCGAGCTCGACCGACGAATACAATGTCTTTGTAAGGACTTTGTACTATCACTATCATTCAACTTGTTATAATAGAATAATTACTTTATTTTCTAAGTTATCATATAATTTTTTTCTACATTTAGTTATTCCTAATTATTGCAGGTAATAGTGTAAAAATACACACGAAAGTGAGAGTCTTAGGGGTCGTTTGGTTTGAAAACAAGTTACGCTTGGATTAGTTATATTGTGATTAGTTATGATGAGATTAATTATCCAAGTTATTTCTTACTGATTGTTTGGTATATTGTATTAATTTTGGGATTGTTAATTTTACTGTTTTATCCTGGAATTACTATTTCATGCTCTGACAGGTATAAGTTATTCCAGTATTTTTTTAATGTTAATATAACTTATCTCAAAATTAGTAACCAAACAAAGAATAAGACGATACTAAATTTTTATACCAGGATTATCTTTACGTATCCATATTATACCGGAGTACCCCTTAGTTTTTGAATGACTTAATTGTGTAAAGTTGTGTTTACATTGTCGTAAAAGTTAAACTCGTGCTACTTTTACCACCCAAAGTTTCTGAATGATTGACCATAAGTCCATAACTGATCTTTGTCCACATCTCAAGCCATTGCCACAAAATCCCAAAAACTGAAAAAAGAAAAGAAAACTATTCTGTCATTTCTACAACTAGGCGTCTCATATCAAAAGACAAAAGTTTGACAACAGTAATGTTGGTCTGACATCTTCCAAGTTTCTAGATATAATTGATAATTTTGAGGACAATTGTATAATCTTCCTCTTTTTCTTTTATTTCTAAGTTTGTAGTCAGACTTTCTTGGCTTTCGAGGACAGATCGCCCAATCATCTGATATTATTTGTTGAACAAAATCTTAGTTGGCTCCTAAAGATTCCAATATGGTATTCCAGTGTCTCGTATTAACAGTCTTGATTATTAAAAATAGTTATCTCAAATTATTTATTATTTTAGAAGTTAAGATAAAATTAATTATTTTTTTTCTTTTTTTACCCTTAGTAATAATTATTTTTGAAGATGTAGATAACATATAAATCGAATAAATATTCAATGAACAGAGATTATATCTTAAGACATAAATAAGGGTAGAATAGTCCAATTCTTTTCCTAATTAATATTTCTTAAGGGGCGTGTAAAAGAGAAACACGACACATAATATGAGACGGAGGGAGTAAGTGTCACGACCCAAAATCTCACTTGTCGTGATGACGCCTATCTCAAT